GGAGATGATGAGGGAGGGTGGGGGCGGGCGGCCCTGGGCTGGGAGAGAGCAGCTCCACCGCAGAGGGCAAGCATAGACGCCACCACCACCTGCAGCCTCTACGGCTGGTCCTCTCTAGTCCTTTCACTGGGATGCTCTGGTTTCCTTCCCGGTGCTTTGAGAAATCGCGCGAGAAAAAGCAAGTCTGGGGAGAAAGTGCTTGTCGGCTCACGGCTCGAAAGTCCAGGGTACAGGCTGCCGTGGCAGGGAAGTAAAGGCAGGAACTGAAAACAGCTGATCGCATCACACCCCATCCGGAAGGAGAAATAAACGCTTGGATGCTCAGGGGCTTCTCTCTCTCTCTCTCTCTCTCTCTCTCTCTCTCTCTCTCTCTCTCTCTCTCTCTCTCTCTCTCTCTCTCTCTCTCTCTCTCTCCCCCTCTCTCTCTCTGTCCTGGAACTCTAAACTCTATGTGAGCCAGGCTGTCCTCGAACTCAGAGATCCTCCTGCCTCTGCCTCCCGCTGCACTGGGGTGACAGGTTTTAACTGGTTGTAGAGACTCGAACTCAGCCCCTCCTGCATCCATTGGCTACATGGACGGAACCCATGATTTGGGACTTGGAAAGTGGGGGAGGGGTGTTTGAAGGCAAATCCCAGCCACAGTGTCATTTTGGTGCCTCTGCACGTCAGAGACGCATTTCAGACAAGAAAGGCTGGAGTTGAGGGCCGGCTTTGGAGCGGCTTCATGGGGTGGGGGCATCTGGGGGTGTTGGGAAGAGCCGGCCTGAAGTGAGAGACAGGAGGATTGCCGGGACTGGCGCCTGCTATCCTGGCTCTAGATTCAGCGAGAGACCCTGTCTTGAGGACTAGGTAGAGATGTGACACCCCATACCTCCCTCTGGGGGAGGGGTTGAAATGCACAAGGGCGCCTGCAAAACACACACAGAATTTTTAACAAGTTGTAGGCAATAGCTCAGTGCAGAAAGTGTTTGTTTTTTGAGGCATGAGGGCCCGAGTTCAAGTGTGGGAGCGTGTGCCTGTGACCTCAGCACTGAGGGGGACCCCGGGGTGCCTGTGACCCCAGCACTGAGGGGGACCCCGGGGTGTCTGTGACCCCAGCACTGAGGGGGACCCCAGAGTGTCTGTGACCCCAGCACCGACGGGGACCCCGGGGTGTCTGTGACCCCAGCACTGAGGGGGACCCCGGGGTGTCTGTGACCCCAGCACTGAGGAGGGCAGGGACCCCAGAGTGTCTGTGAGCCCAGCACTGAGGGGGACCCCGGGGTGTCTGTGACCCCAGCACAGAGGAAGACGGGGGACCCCGGAGCTCACAGGCCAGCCTCGTGGAAATGGTGGCTTCCGGACTCAGGGAAGGGCTCTGTCTTAAAGAGGTAAAGTGGGCGGGGCATCGTGGTGCGCACCTTTGACCCCAGCCCTCCGAAAACAGAAGCAGCTGATTCCTGTGAGTTTGGGGCCAGCCTGATCTACGCGTAGAGAGTTCCAGAACAGCCAGGGTTGCATAGTGAGACTCTGTCTCAAAAAAAAACAAAACAAAACAAAAAGGAGGACGAGAAAAGGAAAAAGTGGAGATGGAGTTAGGTGTCAGAGAGCTTTACCTGATGTACAGAAGTCCATGGGTTCAAACCCTACTGCCACAAGGTTAACAACAGCTGAGTGGGACTCGGGAGACGGCCCAGGTTTCATTCCCAGCACCCACATGGTGGCTCACAGCCATCTGTAACCCCAGTCCCAGGGGATCTAAGACCACACACGAGTGGTACACACACACACACACACGCAAGCTAGCCACCATAACTGTACAATAACAAAAAGGTTAATAATAGTAACAACAATAATATTAACAAGCCGGGCGTTGGTGGCGCATGCCTTTAATCCCAGCACTCGGGAGGCAGAGGCAGGCGGATCTCTGTGAGTTCGAGGCCAGCCTGGTCTACAAAGTGAGTTCCAGGACAGCCTCCAAAGCCACAGAGAAACCCTGTGAGCATCACTTGTGGGGGACACCTGTCAGCCACCTCTGGTCGCAGGTGCGCATGTACTCCGGTGTAGACATGCACACGCGCGTGCACACACGCACCTGTGAACACACATGCCTGCGCACACACACACCACGCACACAACACCAGTGTGTGCACACACATATGCACGTACACATACACATGTATACACACACACACACACACACACACACACACACACGTGCAGGCTTCTTCTTGCTGGGGCTCCCGGAAAGCAGCAGGGTCACAAGACAGCGGTAGCCACGTGACAGCCTTTGGTATGCCAAGTTGTACAGATAGTTGAGAGCCCCCGGGAGGCTGCAGAGGGTTGGTCCTGTGCCCCGCACTATCATTTATAACGTCATTAGCCCCCCCCCCCGGGGTTTGGGTAACTGTGGAGTCGATCCAACCCCAGAGGGATACCCAGGACCCTCAGCTGGCAGAGGCAGTCGTGGGTGGCGACGGGAAATATGATTGGCTGTGAGCTCTGACGGCCACAGAGGTAGGAGGGATAATACTACGACACCATCTTCTATTCTGGATAAAAGCGCTCAATTTCCATAATAAAGTACTTTTTAAGGTGTATTTTATTTTGTGTGTGTGTCTGCCGCGTGTGTTTGGATGCCCTTGGAGGCCAGAAGTAGCCATCAGATGCCCTGGAGCCGGAGTTTCGGATGTCTACGAGCTGCCCAATGTGGGTGCTGGGAACTGAACTCGGGTCCTCTGGAAGAGCAGCGAGGGCTCTTGACTGCTGAGCCATGGCTCTCCAGCCCCGTAATAAAGTCTTTTTAAGCTCCGGAGGTGGTGCAACCCCAGCAGCAGAGGAAGTGGGTCTGAGGGAGGAGCTGGAATCTGAAAGTAGCCTGGGCTGAGCAGCAAGTCTCTGAGAACGCCGGGCGTTGGTGGTGCATGCCTTTAATCCCAGCACTCGGGAGGCAGAGGCAGGCGGATCTCTGTGAGTTCGAGGCCAACCTGGTCTACAGAGTGAGTTCCAGGACAGCCTCCAAAGCCACAGAGAAACCCTGTCTCAAAAAACCAAAAAAAAAAAAAAAGACTCTGAGAACAAGAACAAAAACCCTACAAACGCTGGCCCGCCCCAGGACCTTTGCATAAGATGTGCCACGCATTGGAAGTCACACTTCTCCCTTGTGCCCACAGGCTCCCTGTCACCTCAGTCAGGTCTGTTTACTTCCTCAGGCACCTGCTGAGGTGCCCCGCCAGAAGAACAACCCGTGTTCTCCCTATCCTCCTGACCCGTTTTATCTTCTGTCTTATGGTACTATTACTCTAATCTTTCTCTGATAATGTAGGGGATTTAAAGAATTATTGTTCATGTCCCTCCAATAAGATTTAGCCACATAAGAGAACAGCTCTGTCTGTCGGCCACGTCCCCAACAGTTTGGCCTCGAGTCAGCGCTCGGTAAATATTTGTTAGGTGATTTAATGACCTGGAAACCCCCAGGCAAGGGGAGGAGTGGGGAGGTGCCAAAGGGGTGGGAATGAGAGGCCCATTTCTCCAAACACCTGCCTGTCTAGATGACAGCAGGGGTGCGCGTGCGTGCCTGCGTGTGTGTGTGTGTGTGTGTGTGTGTGTGTGTGTGTGTGTGTGTGTGTGCCTGTGTGTGTGTGTCTGTGTGTACCTGTGTGTATGTGCTTTAATGTGCATTGAATTTAAGATTAGTATGTGCTAACCAAGTGGTCTGCCACTGAGCCACACCTGAGCCCCTCACTGGGGGATTCTAGGCAGGGGCTCTGCCACTGAGCCACACCCCAGCCCCTCACTGGGGGATTCTAGGCAGGGGCTCTACCACTGAGTTATTTTCCCGTGCCTCTTTTTACTTTTTGTTTTGAGAAAGGGTTTCACTTAATCATCCATGCTGGCCTGGAACTTTCTGTCCCATTCTCCAAATAACTGGGATGACAGGCCTGTGCCACTGGGCTGACTGTTGGGTGTTGTTTGCAGGGTGCAGAATGAAGGGGACTTGGGGTCTTTTGAGAAATCTAACAGCCTCCCTGGCCCAGTCAGGACCTGTGGGATCTTGCCTTCCAGACTGTCTTAGGGAGACACACCCACAGGTCGGGTTTACCAAATTCCGCCCCAACCTGTGTCCTTGGCTCCCATAGACGACAAGGCAAGAGAGAAAGGGACTCTTCTCTTGCTTCAGGGGGACAAGGTTCCCCCAATAGAGCCTCCCAACACGGAAAGTTTCCACAAGTATTGATAAGTCGGTAGCAGGCAGAGTCTTGGGGAGGAGGGAGATGATGGCTGGGCCGCTTCCAGTCTTGGACTCCTCAGGGGACTGGTGAGGCGGCAGATGAGATCGCTTGGGGAGGAGCCACACAAAACAAGGTCACAGACCTGTGTCCTCAAATGCCCCCCCCAGGCAAAAAAAAAAAAAGAGTGCTCCGTTTGAACGAACTTGTTATTTTTAGATGGGTTTGAGGAATTATGTTTTGTTGTTTTGCTGGTGGTGATTTTGTTTCTAAACTTTTGTTACATTTTATCTCTTAGGGGAGGGTGCCTCTGCCCGTGTCTTGGCATGGGTGTGGAGGTCAAAGGGCAGCTCCTGCGAGCCTGTTCTCTCCTTTCGCTGGGGCCCGTGCCAGAGCTGAGGGCATCGGGGTTGGCGGCCAGGGCCTGTGCCCAGGAAGCCAGCTCCCTGGCCCTGCTTCTGGGGTTTGTTTTGTTGTTTGTTGCTCAGGCTGGCTTTGAACTGGCAGCAATCCCCCTGCTTCAGCCTCCCTTGGGTTGAGAATACGGGTGTGTGCTTATACATCAGGCTGCTCCAGCATGGTATGGCAGTGTCCTACAGGACATCGTTTATCTCACGGAATTTGGGGCTGGGGTCAGAGGACTGGGTAAAAGGGACAGTATCCTTGCCACTGTCGTCTGCCCCCCCGCCCCCGGCACCTGCAGTGCCATCTCCTTGGGAAACCGAGGCAGGAAGGTTGCCTTATATTCAAGGCCAGCCTGGGCTATGCAGCAAGTTCCTGTCAAAAAAAAGCAAACGGGCCAGGCGGGGTGACGGCACAAATCTTTTGTCTTTAATCCCAGACCTCCAGAGACTGAGGCAGGTGGATTTCTGTGTGTTTCCAGCTTGCCTGGTCTACACAGCCTGGCTACCCAGTGAGACCCCATTTTAGAAGAGAAAAATGAAGCTGAAAAGGGCCAAGAACTTGGATCCGTCTGATACAGCGGTTGCCTAGCGCCAAGTCCTGTGTCTGAACCCGGGAAACCAGGCGCAGGGCGGTGAGCGTCTGTCGCCCCAGCATTCCAGAGGCAGAGGCCGATCAAGGTCAGCCTGCAGTGCGCAGTGGGCTCCGGGAGGCTTTATTTCAACAACAAGAACAAAGTTAAAAACAAAAAAGACCTTCTAATATAACATCTGTTTGTGTCGACTTCTCGGCCGGAAATTGAACCTTGAATCTGTTGTGTTGGAGGCCGGGACCCCGGTGTCCTGGGCAATGCTCGCATACAGTCGGTGCTGCGATATGTCTCGCAACCTTACTGGTCAGCCTGAAGCGGTCCCGGTGCGCCATGGCGCTCGAGCCTCAGAAGACTCAGAAGAGTCAGAAGGAGTGGAGGTCATGGCCGCCTCCAGCTCCAGTCACCGAGCAGCCTCAGGCCTGGGCACAGCCCTCAGCAGGCTAACACGCAAAGGCAGCTTTTGTTTGGACTCCATGGGCTCCCTCGGGGGCTGGGCTCACTCCGCTGGTCAAAGGCTTGGCCAGCATAAAAACCACCTGTAATCCCAGCACTCAGGAGACCACCGCAGGAAGACCAACTCAAGGTCGTGCCTCAGCTACATAGTGAGTTCAAGGCCACCCTGGGCTACATAGACAACATCTCAGAAAACAAAAACAAAAACAGAAAGAGGTTCATATTAGAGGCGCTCCAGGGAGGCAGAGAGGGAGCAGAAAGGACAGCAGGCAGAGAGGGGGGTCATGTGATGCCTTAGGGACTAGAAGCCATGGCAAAGGCTAAGAACAAAAGGTAGCTCTGCCCAGAAACCTGGGCCTCCCTGGAGACTCCCAGCTGGTGTCACACCTGGTGTCAGCTTCCAGAAGTGGGGCGCAGGGGTGCTGGGGGGGGGGGAGACAAGCTCTGAGGAGGGCAAGCTGGGGTCATCGGGGAGGGCCTGTGGGAGATGGGGACTTGCAGAATGAGGTGGGAAGCTCTCTCGGATGCCATCTATAGATTGCAAGAAAGGGGCAAACACGGGGCCGCGGGCTTCAAGGAAGAAAGGAAAGGGGGAGGGACAGGACGGTGACAGACAGGAGTGCGGGAAAACGCGGGGGCCGGGGGGCGTGTGTGCAAGCGTGCGGGGCAGACTGTGGCCGGAGTGGGGGCAGGGGCTGGGCAGGGGCAGAACGATGGCCGCTGGGAGTCCGGGAAAGCGCAGGGGAGCGGGGCGGGGGCAGAATGGTGGCAGCCAGGGGTGGGGGCGCGGGGAGCGGGGCGAGCCAGGGCTGGGGAGTATTCCGTGAGCCTGGTTCAGTGGGCACACAGTGCCTCGCGGGCCACCACCGTGAGGGCTCTGCATTCCGCAGAGGACACCCGGGAGCCATGGTAGCCTCTGTGCCGATGGGGCGGGGGTGGGGGGTGGGGGGTGAGGACCAAGACCCACGCCCTCCTTCCAGTCTCGGGGGGCAGTAGCATCTTCCCGGACAAGAGCAGGGACAGGGGTTGCTCTGGGAAGATAATAAGGTCAGTTGAGGACAAGGTGGGTGACAGGCGCCATTAGGGTTCAGTCTCAGTACTCAGGGTGGAAGCAGGGCCAGACAGGGAGGGCGGGGTGACATAAGGTCACAGCGGAAGCAGCAGCCCCGCCCCCGCCCTCCCAGGCCTGCTCCCTCTCTACACAGCCCCGCCTTGTTGAGGGCAACCCAGGACAGCGGGGTACTCAGGAGAGACCCAGGACAGGAGAGAGGCAGGTACGGCCCCCTGCCCAGAGCGGGCTGCGGGGCCTCAGAGGAGCTGGTGCCGCCAAGGTGACATGCTGTAACATGTCTGTAACATGCTGCCCAAACCTCCATGGTTGCCGCCAGGACATCCTCCTCCACCTCCATGCAAGGGGTGGACCATCTTTGTGGATTTGCTTTCCCAGTGATATGAGGGGTTTTGTTTTTGTTTTCCTAGCTAGGGTCTCACTATGTACCTTAGGCTGGCCTGGATCACTCACAGTGATCCTCCTGCATCAGGCAACCCAGAGCAGAGGTGACTGGAGTCCACCATGGGACTCTAAGGGTTTCTGTTGTTCTGTTGTGCTGGCCCCAAACTCATTAGGCAGCTGAGGGTGACCTCACACTTGCAACCCTCCTGTCTCCTGAGTGCCGGGATGACAGGCTTGTGCCACCACCACACCTGGTTTATTCGGTGTCGGAGATTGAACCCAGAGCCTCATGTTGGCACTCTACCAACTGAACCACATTCCCCAACTGGGTTTACATTTGCCTAGTTGGCCCTCACCAAGCCCAGGGATTTATCTGAGCATTTGGTACACAGTAGGCGTTTTTTGTGGAAGAAAGGAACTCATGTCTTTTTTTTTCTTTTAAGATTTATTATGTATACTGTGTTCTGTCTGCATGTTTGTCTGCAGGCCAGAAGAGGGCGCCAGATCTCATTACAGATGGCTGTGAGCCACCATGTGTTTGCTGGGACTTGAACTCGGGACCTCTGGAAGAGCAGGCAGTGCTCTTAACCTCTGAGTCTCCAGCCCCCAGGAACTTATGTCTTACAGGGCACTTACTGTGTGTCAGGCGTGGTCGTAGGCACCACACATTCGCATGCTCCTGTTACAGACCCCACAGGGGGTCAGGACCACTGCCCTCGTTAAGGACACTGAGAGCCCCTGGAGACACTAAGATTCACAGCTGCTGGAGGCATTCCTATGAATGGCCTAGGGTTTAAAACATCCTCCACCTACCTGTGCCTCCCAACACCTCTAGGTCATTGTTATGCAAATGATATGCAAAGAATGGGCTGAAGGTATGGGCCACTGGTTAGGAGCACTGGCTGCTCTTCCAAAGGCCCCAGGTTCGATTCCCAGCACCCACATGGCAACTGACATGTCTGTAACTCCTAGGGGATCCACTGCCCTCTTCTAGCTCCATGGGCATTGCACAGACATGCATGCAGACAACAGAGCTGTGCACACAGTTGTGGTTTGGTTTGGTTTTCGGTTTTTCAAGACAGGGTTTCTCTGAGGCTTTGGAGGCTGTCCTGGAACTCACTCTGTAGACCAGGCTGGCCTCGAACTCACAGAGATCCACCTGCCTCTGCCTCCTGAGTGCTAGGATTAAAGACGTGCGCCACCATGCCAGGCTAGTCTTTTTTTTTTTCACGTAGTAAAATTTTTCAAAAGAGAGGAGATGGCTCAGTGGTAAGGACACTTGCCACCTAGCCTGATGAATGGCTTGAAGTTCCATTCCTGGAGCCCACAGGCTGGAAGGAGAAAACTGACTCCCCCGATAAGTGATCCTCTGGCCTCACAAACTGACTGTGACAAGAGCATCTCACGCCCTCCCCTCAACAATAAATGAATAAAATGTGGAAAAGACAAGAAAACAAATGGGCAGGACTTCAGTCCCAGCACTCGGGAGGCAGAGGCAGGCGGATCTCCATGAGTTCAAGGCCAGCCTGGTCTACAGAGTGGTTCCAGGACATCCAAGGCTATGCAGAGAAACCCTGTCTTGAAATACCAATAGCAGCAGCAACAACAACGACCAAAAACTAAGAAAATAAAACCTGAGCCCGATATGGTGGTTCACATCTGTAACCCCAGCCCTCGGGAGTCTAAAGCAGGAGTCTTGTGAGTTCAAGGCTTGTGTGAGCTTCTGAATGAGCTATGGACCATTCTGAACTGTCCTGTGAGACCTGTGCCATAAGAGAAAGGGGCTCAGCTGTCACGTGGGTGGACTGTTCTTACAGAGGACCCGAGTTCAGTTCCCAGCACCCACCCTGGGAGGTTCACAACTCATAACTCCAGGGGCTCCAACACCCTTGGTCTTCACGGACGCCTGAATTTATGTGCAGAGAGACTCACACAGACATATACAACACATATATGTAATTAAATAAAGCTGGGCACCTTTAACCCTGGCACACACGGGAGGCGGAGGCAGGTGGATCTCTGTGACTTCCAAGGTCACCCTGGTCTACAGTGCGAGTTCCAGGACAGTTAGGGCTACACAGAGAAACCCTGTCTAGAAAAACCAAAGTGCGTGGGGGGGTGTTGGGTGCCAGCAAGGTGGCTCAGTGGGTGAACCCACTTGCTGCCAAGCCTGACAGCCTCGAGTTTGATCCCCGGGAGACATGTGATAGACACAGAGGAGACGTCACAAAGTTGTCCCCTGGGGTCCGCATGAATGTGATGGCACAAGCCACCCACCTCGCAGAGCGACAGTGAGAACCAGGAGGGGGAGGGAGGGGACACAAAACAAGGAGAGAGAGAGGAAAAGGCAGAGATGCAGAGGGAGGGACAGAGCCGGCTCAGACGGTGGCCCCGGGTTCCGCCCCCAGCACCCCATAAATCAGGTGTGGAGCAAACACCTGTCAAGATCGGGAGTTCAAGGCCATCCTTGGCTACATAATAAATGCAAATCTAGCCTGGGCTACATGGAACCCTGTTTTCAAAAAAAAAAGTCTTTTGTTTTCCCCCTCTTGATTTTTTTGAGACAGGATCTCATTGTAGCCCAGGCTGCCCTCCCAATCATTGCATTGCTGAGATTGCTTTGGGTTTTATCCGGGCTCTAACTCCCAGGCAAAGGACAGAGTTGTGGTGCCATCCACTGTGGTGACCCTGGTCACTCAGAGGAGCAGAAGGCTCTGTCCCGATCCCCTCCGTGACCCCCAGCTGTGCAGCAGTGAGGCCTCAGCCATGGGGGTCAAGAGCTGCCCCCAGAATCTTCTTGTGCCCCTCCTCCCTCCTCCCTCCTCCCTCCTCCCTCCTCCCTCCTCCCTCCTCCCCGGCGACCTGGTTCTCCTCTTCGGTACCAAATCTGGGCCTTTGGCACAAACTGGATTAGGCAGCTGCCCCAGGAGGCCTGGCCAGGTCACGGCCTCTGGCCGGTGTTTGCCACACCCATCCCTGTGCCCAAACAGGGCCCCAGATCTTCTGTGACTCGATCCCTCCAAATTCCGGTGATCGGGCCCCGGTTCCAAATTGCCGAACGATCCCAGGGCCAGTGGCAGACCGGGCCAAGCCTCAACCAGGAAGGGTCTGTGACTGGAACGCCATTGCCACCAACCGTCTCGGAAGTCCACCTGGGGTGAAGGATGCCGTTGGCCTGGTGCAGCTGGTTCTTCCTCAGTGGTGAGCAAGAAGGGTCCCCCTCCCCCAGACCCTCAGCCCACTCCCTGCACCTCCAAGGGACTGCTGCCCAGGGGAGGGGAGGTGTGAGCCCTTAGGCCAGCACACACTGTGTAAGCAGGGCAACTCTGCTTCACTCTGGGGCAGTTTGTTCCTGAGAGGGAGGCCTGTAGGGCAGGCTGGAGACTGCCACGGAGCGATGTCGGCCGTGGGGCTCTGGGTCCCACAGCCAGAGCAAACCAAGCTGACTAGTGGCAGGGTTTCCAGATTCCCATCATCTGGGCTTGGTTTAGGTGTTTTTGAGGTAAGGTCTCCTATAGCCCAGGGTGGCCTCAGACTTACCTTGTAGTTGAGGATGACTTTGAACTTCTGATCCTCCTGCTTCCGCCTCCCTAGTGTTGGGATTACAGGCGTGTGCCATCAGGCCAAGTTCACGTGGTGGGGACTGGACCCAGGGTTTCATGTTTGCTAAAGAAACCCCTACAAACTGAGCTAGAGCCCCAGCAACCTTATGTTGTCTTTTCATTTTTGAGACAGGGTCACACTGTTGCCCTGGCTGTCCTGGAACTCGCTCTGTAGACCAGGCTGGCCTCGAACTCACAGAGATCCGCCTGCCTCTGCCTCCCGAGGGCTGGGATTAAAGGCGTGCGCAGCCAGGCTCTGCACTAGTGAGGCTGTTGTTGTTGAGACAGGGTGTGACTCTCTAGCCCGGGCTGGCCTCAAACTTGAGACGGCCCTCAAGCCTCAGCCTCCTGAGTGTGACCACCGGGCCTGGCCTTCCTGCTCTCCCCTCAGCCTGGGTTCACTCAGCCGTGAATGGGCCGACAGGATCGCTCTAAGATCCTTTGGAAGCAGGGCTGAGCGGCATCTACCGTTCACCTACTTGGGATCTTTTCACTTGCCAGCCCCGGGGCGGGGGGGGGATGCTCACTTGTGGCCCTGGAGAGGAAAACCAGGCCTCTAGGTGACTTGCTGGCCAGGGTCGCACAACACAAAGTGCAGAGCTTTGCCCTAAGCCCAGAACACGTCATTGTCACCCACTTTCCTCCAAGCAGGGAGGGACTGGAAACCAGGCCAGGCCAGGCCTGCAAGAGTGTGCCGTGTGGCAAACGCCAGAGCCGCCAAGCACAGATGAGAAGGAGAGCAGGGAGCAGCCCTACTGGCTGGGACTTGTCTGTCTGTGGAGAACGGGTGGCGGAGGCTGGGGTGTGGCCCAGGGGGTGCAGGGCTTGCCTAACACCGGCTGGGTTTGATCCCCAGTGCAGCACAGACTGGGTGTGGTATCTCTCCAGAGTCCCAGCATTCAAGAGGTGAAGGCAGGGAGATCAGGAGTTCAAGGCCATCCTCTGCTGTATGTCAGTTGAGGCCGGATGGAGAGGAGGCTGGAGAAAGGAAGGAGAAATGGGACTCCACATGTCCCTGCTCTGGATGTGGCGGCCCTGGTGCACACAGAGGGAGTGCCTCTGGATTGCATGAGAGACTTTCGCAAGTCCTGATGTTAGCCTGAGGGGTCAGACTCAGTTGGCTACATAAGCCAGGGTCCTGTTTGAGTCTCAGGCTGGCGCCTCTCACGGGAGGCCTCCTGCATCCCTTTGGCTCTTCAGACTCCATGAACGCTCAGGTGTTAGAGCCTGTCTTGCTGGTGCATGCCTGCAAACCCCAGCACTGAGGAGACCGAGGCAGGAAGACCAGAACTTCCAGACAAGCCTTCTCCGTCATACAGGGAAGCTCAGACTCCACTCCCTGCTCAAAATTAGGAGATTGAGATGTTGAGGGCCAGAGAGCTACAGGTTGGAGCTGGGAGTCAGTAGCAGGCTATTTGCCTAGAATCCCCCAGTGAGGGGCTGGGGGTGTGACTCAGTGGTAAAGCCCTTGCCTAGAATCCTCCAGTGAGGGGCCGGGGGTGTGGCTCAGTGGTAGAGCCCCTACCTAGAATCCCCTAGTGAGGGGCTGGGGCCATGGCTCAGTGGTAGAGGCCCTGCCTAGAATCCCCCAGTGAGGGGCTGGGGGTGTGACTCAGTGGTAGAGCCCCTACCTAGAATCCCCCAGTGAGGGGCATAGGTGAGGTCCTGGGTTTTATCCCAGGGGGAAGTGTGACTATGAGAGTCACAAATCTTGCTTGTGTCTGATCTTGGAAACACTGGGGATGTCACCTCTGATCCTGTCAACTCCAGTCAAATGAGGTGACAAGTCAGTCACTCCTACCCCATCCAACCTGCCTGCCCCTTCTCTTCTTTCCCAGTCTGGATGCTGAACATCGGGGCTGAGATCTCCATCACCCCTGAGCCTGCCCAACCTGCAGAGGGGGACAATATCACACTGGTGGTCCAGGGCCTCCCCGGGGAACTGCTTGCCTACAATTGGTATGCAGGGCCTACGCTCAGCCTGACCTTCCTGGTGGCCAGTTACATTGTCAGCACTGGCGATGAGACCCCTGGGCCGGCCCACACAGGGCGGGAAGCTGTGGGCCCGGACGGCAGCCTCGAGATCCATGGTGTCCTGCCTGGGCACACAGGCACCTACATCCTCCAGACCCTTAACAGGCAGTTTCAGACGGAGGTGGGCTACGGACACATGCAGGTCTATGGTGAGCCAACCCTTGCCACACATCCGGGACTTTCCACCCTCTTCCTCACCCCTCCTTTGAAGACAGAAGTAAAAAAAATATTCTTTAAAATTGCATGCGTGCGTGTGTGTGTGTGTGTGTGTGTGTGTGTGTGCATTCATTGGTGTGTCACAAACACATGTGGAGGTCAGAGGACAACTTTGGAGGGTCAGTTTTTCCTTCCACCTTGTGGAACCCAGGGATTGAACTCTGGTCGCCGGGTTTGGTGGCAAGCGCTTTTACCCACCGGGCCATCTTGCCAGCCCCTTCCAACAGGGTGTGAGGGGGGGGGAAGCCTAAAATAACAGGAAAACAGCCGGGCGTTGGTGGCGCACACCTTTAATCCCAGCACTCGGGAGGCAGAGGCAGGCGGATCTCTGTGAGTTCGAGACCAGCCTGGACTACCAATCGAGTTCCAGGACAGCCTCCAAAGCCACAGAGAAACCCTGTCTCGAAAAACCAAAAAAAAAAAAAAAAAAAAAACAGGAAAACGCTCACCTTCTCCACTCTGGCTTCCAGGATGATATCTGTCTTCTTTGTCACTATGGCTGGGGGTACAGCACTCAGCGGTGCTTCTTGCCCCGGGGACAGGAGGTGCCCCTCCCCTCCCCCTCTCTGTCTCTCGCTCCCCCCCCATAGAGATCCTGACCCCTCCCACGGTCGCGGCCAATGCCACTGCGCTGGTGGAGCGCAGGGACACCCTTCGTCTCGTGTGCAGCAGCCCCAGCCCCGCTGAGGTCCGCTGGTTCTTCAACGGTGACGCTCTACCTGTTCCGGTCCGCCTGGGCCTGTCCGCGGATGGCAGGGTGCTGACCCGGCACGGCATCCGCCGGGAGGAGGCGGGCGCCTACCAGTGCGAGGTGTCGAACCCGGTCAGCGTCAGCCGCAGTGAGCCCCTGAACCTGACGGTGTACTGTGAGTCTTCCGAGGCGGCCGTATCCATACATCACAGATGGGGAAACTGAGGCAGAGGGAAGGAGTCCACAGTCACACGGCGAGCAGGCTGGGGAGGGAGCAAGGGTCCCTCTTAAAATACACTTGACGGGTCACTTCATAAGTATAAGCTGTGGCTGGTAATGTCAGGTGGACAAGGTATCTGGGAGGGGAGGGAAAATCACCGTCTCGGTTAGATAATGAGATTTGTGTCAAAAATAAAAGTGTGCCAGGGAAGCAGGGATAGCTGGGCTGTCAGGATGCCAGCGTGCACCAGGCCCTGGGATCCAGCTGAAGAACTGTAAACTGCTCACGTTAGTGTAGGTCTATAGTCCTAGCACTTAGGGAAGTGGAGGCAGGATCCTGAGCTCCGGTCCTTACCCGCTGCATACTGAGTGCAAGGATAGCCTGGGCTACTTGAGGCTCTGTCAGAAAAGGAAAAAAGAAAACGCTCCCTAAAGAGCACGAAAACACGGCCCCAGGGATGTTTGGATTGGAGACAGCATCCCCAGGACTGGGGGGGAGGGGCTGGGAGGGGACGTAGCAAAAGCTCATCACAGAAGCACACAGTAGGTCCCTGGGGCAGCAGCAGTGTGGCATGGAATCCTGAGAAAACGAATCACAGAGGTGCCTGGCGGCGGAGCAGCACTTCAGTCCAGGAGGCAGAGGCAGGAGATGGCTGTGAGTTCAAGACCGACCAGTCAGGGCTCTGTCTTTAACAAAACAAACAAACAAAACAAGCAAAAACCAGGATGGTGATAAAAACTGACGTCCTGGAGTGCTACAACCATAGAAATTTAGATGCCAGAAACTCTAGATGCAAAGGCGAGGCTTCAGAGTTTAGCCGGAAAAGCCTAGAAACACCACCCTCTGAAACAGTATCCTAGAACCAAGTTATAACTCTGGGGAGTCTAGACCAGTGGTTCTCAACTTGTGGGTCGAGACCCTATTGGGTCAAACAACCCTTTTACAGGGGCCACCCAAGACCATCAGAAACCACAGCTATTTACATTATCATTCATAACAGTAGCAAAATTACAAAGTAAAGTAGCGATGAAAATAATTTTAGGGTCAGGAGCTGTATTAAAGGTCCCAGCGTTAGGAAGGCTGAGAACCACTGCTCTAGAATCTTAGACACATGGATTTCCAGGGTCTGAGAATCCTAAAACACAGAACATAAATTTTGTTTGTTTTGTTTTGCTTTGTTTTTCAAGACAGGGTTTCTCTGTGTAGCCCTGGCTGTCCTGTAACTCGCTCTGTAGACCAGGGTGGTCTTGAACTCACAGAGATCCGCCTGCCTCTGCCTCCCTCCACTGGGACCAAGGGCATGGGCCACCTCTGTGCAATTCCACACATTCTCTTTTTACAGATGAAAACACAAAAAAGCCACGGAGTTCCGAGTTCTTGTGGGAGGGAAGTGTCAAGATTACAGAGAGTTAGTTATGGAGACTTGATTGACAGGAAAGGCTCCAAGTTCTTTCTCCCCAGTATTCAACCCCACCAGCCACAGGGACCCAACCTGGTAGACAAGAAGACCTTGGGTGCAAGCCTCTGTCCCCTCCCGTCCCAGCACCCCTGTCCCTCCTGTGTCTCTGCCTCCCGCTCTACAGACGGCCCCGAACGTGTGGCTATCCTCCAAGATTCCACCACCCGTACGGGCTGCACCGTCACAGTAGACTTCAACACGTCCCTCACGCTGCGGTGTGTGGCCCGGTCCTGTCCTGAGCCAGAGTACGTGTGGGCCTTCAACGGGAAGGCCAGGATGAATGGCCAGGATCACCTGAACATCACTAGCATGACAGCCGCCCACGAGGGCACCTACACGTGTATCGCTAAGAACTCCAAGACACTGCTGTCTGGCTCCGCCTCCGTGGTGGTCAAGCTGTCCGGTGAGTAGGCCCCAGCCTGAGGGCCACCTGCTCTCTACAGAGGCCCAGCAGGCCTTTGCCGACTGGCCACCATTTTCCCAGGAGATAACTGGGTTCCCGGCACACTCACTGACCAGCTGTGACAAGGTGGCAGGCATATCGGATTGTCTCCGCCTTGTCTAGGTGCAAAAAGAGTCAGGCAAAGCCGGTCACACAGAGAATATTTGGTGGCTCCTAGCCTCTGCCTTGAGGTTAGACTGAGTGACAAGGGAGTCCCGTGTCCCCTTCCTGTGGGGTGGCAGAGCGGGACACCAGGGTCCATGTCCTTCCATGTAATTATCTCAGTTGGTAGAAATGGTACCAGCACTAAGAGCCCTGCCCAGCCCAAGACACAGACGGCCATGCCCTCTCCCACACCACAGCTGGAAAACCACAGGCAGCCGTCACCTGATGGAGAAATCCAGCCAGAGGCACTGCCAAACCCTGAGGATGATGTCTTTGGACATCAAGGCCTCATCTATAGTCATAGCATTTGCGAGGTGAAGGCAGGAGGATCAGGAGTTTGAGGCCATCTACACAGACAGTTCGAAGTCAGCCTGGGCTACAAGAGACTTTGTCTTAAAAAAATAATAAAGACATTAATAATTCTATCTGGGTTTTTTCTCAAGTGACCGTTGTCCCTCGGGGACAGTGGGACTCGTCCTCCCCCCCTCCCTTCTTCCTCCACTAACAGGCTAGGTCTCACGGAAAGGGTGGGGATGGACCCCTCTTTCACGCAGAGCAAAGATGGCAGCCCCAAAGGTAAGTGTGCCTCCTGATTTACCGGTGAGGGGCCTTGGCTGGAGACAGGGTGGACCAGATGACCTCGGGGCCAACTCGGGGTGTCCAAGGTCTGCAGGTATGTGCCAGGTGTACCTGATGTAACACCCCAAGACGGCTTCCTTCCAAGCTGCCAGGGGTCCTGTGGCAGGTGCCGGGAGAGAGACAGAGGACAGAGAGACAGCACTGTCACCCCGCCCGGGAAACAAGCTGATCTGACAGAGGAGGCACGGTCTTCCTCTGATCTCAGAGGGATCAGGAGAGCAGGGGAGCTGCCAATCAAAGAGGAGAGGCAATGCCTCACCTGGGCTCCCAGGCACTGATGGAGGAGACATAAAACCCTCTAGTCAAAGGGAGGAGGCATAGCCTGGAGGAATTTCCAGGTCATTAGGAGACATGACACCACTTTACTTTAAAATTCCTAGTCTGATGGGGGAGACACAGGTCCCACTTTGGGAATAATGCAAATCTGATGGGGGAGTACGACCCCCCCCCCGATTTTCGATGGACATTTTCTGATACAATTGAGATGATCGTTCCCAACTCTTGGGGTCTCTAACTTGACTAGATGGTCTACTCCGACTATCCACAATTTCTCAGTCTGATGGAGGAGACAGAGGCTCCCACCTTGGAGGGAATCTTAAACCAATGGAATAGGCTTCCCAGCTTCTAGGGTCCTGAACTTGATTTTTTAAAAAAATCTAGAATTTCCCAATCTGATGGAGGAGACACAACTCACAACCTTGTGAGACTTTTTAATGCAATACAGGATAAGCACAGCTTCTTTCCTCTAGGGTCTTCCGATCTGATGGAGGAGTCGTCACCCATATTCTCGGGTCTGCTGCTCTCACAGAAAAAAACATGCTGTGGGAACAGAAACCCCAGACATCAGATGGGGGAGACACAGCTACATTTTCTGGGATTTCCAACCTGATAGGGGAGGCATGGCCCCCTCGAGTTTGGAAGTTTCCACCCTGACAGAGAAGACATGGCTAGACTCTCCAGGGTTTCCCAGTTTCATAGAAGGGACAACCTGCTCCATCACCCAACGCGGGAATCTGGAGAGGAGAGAGGTGTCCCCGGCAAACACCGCTGAGAGAGAAAGTCACCTCCATCCTCGGTCTCCCCAGCACCTCAGGGGGAGCACCGTCCCTGGAGGAGCTGGTCCGGGGAGAGGGAGGACTCCACCCCCAGGGCAGACCTGGCTGACGGTGGCGGTGGCTCTCTCTCCAGCCGCAGCTGTGGCCATGGTGATTGTGCCTGTACCGAGTAAACCAACGGAGGGCCAGGACGTGACCCTGACCGTCCAGGGCTACCCCAAGGACCTGCTGGTCTATGCCTGGTACCGAGGACCGGCCTCAGAGCCCAACCGACTGCTCAGCCAGCTGCCGTCCGGGAACTGGATCGCCGGCCCAGCGCACACGGGCCGGGAGGTGGGCTTCGCCAATTGCTCCCTGCTGGTGCAGAAGCTGAACCTCACAGACGCCGGACGCTACACACTCAAGACGGTCACACTGCAGGGCAAGACTGACACGTTGGAGGTGGAGCTACAGGTGTCCCGTGAGTGAGCAGCCTGGGGGGGGGTCCCAGAGGTGGGCGTCGCCTGCCTCAGGAGCCCGAGGGACACGGGCATGCGCCTCTCCCATCTGACCTGCGTGTCCCGCCTCTCAATCGGTGACACCCACCGAGGGTGGAGAGGCCCCCTGGCTCGTGTAAGGTATACGCTGTAAACGGGCGTCCTGTGAGGGTGGGCGCCTTCTCTCCTCGGGTGAGTGGACACTAACGCTCGGGACCCAGCCTCTTCCACCGCGCTGGGGAGTTGGGGTGATGCAGGTTTTTCCTCCCCCATGAGACAAGGCATGAGGGCAGGGAGCTTCCACCTGGGGACGGGAGAGACGCGCCAACCTGAAATGCACGACTTGCACTAGATTGCAGGCTGCGAGGTGCGTCTCCTCCGTCAGACAGGATTCTCTGATGGGAAAGACCCCTCCCACATCAGGCTGGGGGCTCCTGCAGCAGAGAACCTTGTCTCCTCCATCAGACTGGGAGCTCCCAGAGTCAGGGACCATCAGACTGGGAGTTCTCAGAGTCAGGAACCATGTCTCCTCCATCAGACTGGGAGTTCTCAGAGTCAGGAACCATGTCTCCTTCATCAGACTGGGAGTTCTCAGAGTCAGGAACCATGTCTCCTCCATCAGACTGGGAGTTCCCAGAGTCAGGGCCATGTCTCCTCCATCAGACTGGGAGCTCCCAGAGTCAGGGCCATGTCTCCTCGGTCAGAGACGGGGACCCTGTGTCCTCCATCAGACTGGGAGCTTCTAGAGTCAGAGCCATGCCTCCTCCATCAGACTGGGAGTTCTCAGAGTCAGGGAACATGTCTCCTCCATCAGACTGGGAGTTCTCAGAGTCAGGGACCATGTCTCCTCCATCAGGCTGGGAGCTCCCAGAGTCAGGGACCATGTCTCCTCGGTCAGAGACGGGGACCCTGTGTCCTCCATCAGACTAGCAGTCACCAGCCAGGGACCACGCTCTCACAAACAAAGGCCATGTGTCCTCCATCAGACTAGGAACCCCACAGATCTTCAAGGCCGTGTCACCAGGGCAGGAGCGCTGGGCAGGGGCTCCGAGATGGAGAGTTTAAGTCTGTAGCCCCGCCTGCCCGTCAGACTAGACACACAGACGTCCAGTTCCTGAGCCGGGACCAGTGTGGGTTCGCGCAGACGCACTGCCGAGCCCGGGACTCCGGCTTCCTCTGTCGCTCACAGTCCGGCTGGAGGACCAGTCTGCACCCGCAGACCCCAGGCTGAGCGGGGCGGGCGGCGCGGTGGGCGGGGCGCGGGCGGGGCCTGCCGCTGACTGACAACCTCCCGTCCCCGCCCCGTCCTCCTTCCCAGCCCTGGAGTAGCCGCCGCCGCCGCCGCAGCAGCATCAGCATCAGCATCCGCATCCGCATCAGCACCAGCATCAGCATCAGCATCCGCATCAGCATCAGCATCCGCATCAGCATCAGCACCAGCATCAGCATCAGCATCAGCATCAGCATCAGCATCAGCATCAGCATCAGCATCAGCACCAGCCGCCGCCGCCGGGACCCGGGCAGAAGCGCGCGCACGCAGCCTCTCCCCGCGCCCGCCCCGAGCCCAGGGCCGCCCGCCTGCAGCACGGATGCGGGCCGTGGTCCCGCCACCCTGTCCCCGTGTAGACGTAGCTGTGGGAGAGCCGCCCGCGCCATAAACGCCGGGATGAACGCACGCGCGTGTCAGTCTCTCCTTGCTCCGCCCCAGCCCGGTCAAGGGCAGCTAGCGCCCCCCCCCCCCGGCTTCGGTTCGCACACCGGAGCATGCCCAGGACGGGCGCGCGTGCACCCAGGGAGCTCGGCCCACCACCCCCTCTGCTCCAGAGCACAGGCCTGCAGCTCGCATGGAGGGGTGTCCTGCTCCCCAGGGGGGTAAGGGCCGCACCTCTCTGGGGTACAGAAAGTCAGAAAGCGTGGGGAAGGGGCAGACACTCTCCCCGGGGTCACCTCCTGCCCTCACCCTTACCCTAAGGGGACGGCAGCTTTTCTCAAGGGGCCGTGCTGCACCTTCCAGACCTCGGCCATTATATGCAGAACGCGACGATCATGAGGGTGCATGCTCGAAATGCACACACACGCACTGCGAGGCTCAAGACCAGCCTGGCTTACACGAGACCACATCTCAAAGCGTTTTAAAAAGGGCCAGAGAGATAAAGAGGGTTAATATTCTAGGAGTAGATTATATGGATATAGCACTACGTGTCTCACATATTTTTTAAAATCCTGTCTTCCTACTATAGGGCTTTCCAGTTTCTCGGTCACTTCAAGGGCTCAAATAGCTGTAGGCTCCCTGGTTGCAAGGGACTCTGGGAAATGTAGTCTTCCCCTTGGGTGCGTTGATGCCTCCAAATGATGCCATCCCTGGTCAGAAAGAATGGTTCCCAGTGGGAAGCAGGCAACCTCTGCTACACTGGGTTGAAAAATTCCTCCCCAGCCGCGCAAATAGACCTCTTTCACCTGCAGCCAGAGGGTAAGAGGCACGGCCAGTCGCCAGGTTCCAGAAAGCCCGGGGAGCCAGGGGTGCCAGCCGCGGCTGTGTGGACCCTGGGTCAGAGGTGGATGCTTAATTAGGCCAGCGGGAGGGGAAGGGGGGACGGAGGGCTCTAAAGTTTCTAGGTCAAGCTAGATTCTGTGTCCTGTACAGGGAGGCTCGGGTGTCCCTATGACCAAGTCTCACATCGCTTTGGACATCTGTAGGCGCCATCTCAAGCCAGTACAGTATCCTTCATTTACAGCCCAGGGAAGAAGCAACAAACACCACGAGGCAGGCTTTGTGGCGAGGGGAACTTAGCTCTGGGTTTCAAACCTGCAAAAGAATAATAATGAGAATAATGTGGTTAGTTTAATTTTTTTTCACTGCTGAGGAATGAGCCAAAGACCTTGTGAAGACTAGACAAGCTCTCTACCACGAGCCACGCCCCAGCCCCTCACTGGGGGATTCTAGGCAGGGGCTCTGCCACTGAGCCACGCCCCCAACACAGCCCACCATTTCATTTGTTTTCCTTGAAGCAGGTTCTTACCATGTAGATGAAGATGGCATAGAACTTTTGACCCTGCCACCTTAATCTCCCAAGTTCTGGGAGTTTGGGTCTTTTATGACACCTGACCAGGCTCCTTTTGTCCTTTTACCTCACCAATGCCTAGAGCTTCTCTATGCAGAGCGGCTGTCAATTCTGTCTGTCACAAGTGAGGAAACCAAGGTTTGAAAGCACTGTAAACCGCCGGGCGGTGGTGGTGCACTTAATCCCAGCACTCAGGAGGCAGAGGCAGATGGTTCTCTGTGAGTTCGAGGCCAGCCTGGTCTACAAGAGTTAGTTCCACGACAGCCTCCAAAAAACACAGAGAAACCCTGTCTCGAAAAACAAAAACAAAAACAAAAACAGTCAAAAAAGAAAGTACCGTAACCCTTGCTCCGGCGTTTGTAGTTCCCACAGCTGCCGGGAGGGGGCGCAGGTCAGTGTTTCCAGGTCCTCCTGAGGCAGCGCAGAGCCATAGATTGGAAAACAAACGTTAAACTCAGCTCTGTTGGAGAAATGGGCTCTTTGTATTTCTTTGTCCTTAAAACAGGCACCATCATAACACTTACCTCCTAAGGCTTAGGAATCTACAAATGGACTAAAAGAACCCCCCAACTATTGTCAATAATGTCCATGACCCAGAATAAGGTGTTTACATTAAGCCACAGGCAGATGGAAAGCAAACACATTTGTCTAAGGCTGAGGGTGCAGCTCCCAGTGGTAGAGCTCCTGCCTAGAATCCCCCAGTGAGGGGCTGGGGATGTGGCTCAGTGGTAGAGCCCTGCCTAGAATCCCCCAGTGAGGGGCTGGGGGTGTGGCTCAGTGGTAGAGCCCCTGTCTAGAATCCCCCAGTAAAGAGTTGAGGGTGTGGCTCTTGCTCAGGATGAGTCCCTGGATTCCAACCTCAGTAGAGGGGACGGGGAACAACTACAAAAATAACGTGTTTCTTCCGTACATCTTCCCACGTGCACAGGTCTGCCTCATTTTGTGTAGTGCTCAATAGACCTGTCATGAAAATTACCCATTCTGCCTTCCAAGACTGTAACGACCTAAGTTAGGGAAAGCTCTTAGAACCACCGTATTATTCCCAACAGCTTCTGGGACCTGTGATTTCAATGAAGATTCTGACTCCACCCCTCCAAGCTTCCCTTTGGAAGGGGCTCCGCTTCCCAAAGCTCCTAAATGTTTATTTAAAATGCACACGTACATGGGGGCTGGAGAGATGGCTCGGTGGTTAAGAGCACCGGCTGCTCATCTGGAAGACCCGGGTTCAATTCCCAGCACCCACGTGGCAGCTCACAGCTGTACCTCCAAGATCTGACACCCTCACACAGACACACATGCAGGCAAGACACCAGTGCACATAAAATAAAAATAAACAAATTATTTAAAAAAATACACACATCATAGCTTGGCGATCCCCCAACTCTCAAGATGTCGAGGCAGGGGGTTTGCTCCAAGTTTGAGTCAGCCAGAGCTACACAGCAAGAACCTGTGTCAGAGAAACAAAAAGAGGGGCTGGAGATACACTGTGTTGGTGGAGTGCTTGGCTAGCAGCCCTGGGTTCGATCCCCAGAGCCGCATGAACCAAGCGAGGTGACACTGGAGGCAGAGTTCAAGGTCACCCTCAGCTGGGTATCAAGATCCAAGCCAGCCCGGGGACAGAGGGCCCTGAGTGTGGCCGAACACACTGGCCCACACCTTCAGTCCAAGAACCTGGGAGGCACAGGCAGGTGGATCTCTGTGAGTTCAAGGCCAGCCTGGTCTACTCAGATGGGTTCCAGGACAGCCAGGGTTACACAGTGAGATCTGTCTAAACCAAAGAGAGAGAGAGAGAGAGAGAGAGAGAGAGAGAGAGGCGCAATTGTCCAGATTTCAGCCCAAAGAGGAATAGGATCCCACAGCAGACTCGGGCTGAGACCTCTGCCCAGAGAGGTCACTGGTTCCCCACTGCCACCGAAGCCACCAAGCCCAGGTGGCCCTTGGAGACCTCAGATTCTACCAGCCCAGGAGGAGAGATGGAAATCACCTCCAAGACACCTCTACCTCCTTCAGCCCCATCCCCAGATGGCTACACACAATGGCCCAGATGCCTGTGGAGCCTGGCCAAGAAAAGGAAGGAAGCTTGAGCCCGTTTTTTCTCTGTGGACTCCATGCCACTGTGGGGAGGGAACAGGACGAGAAAGGTTCTTGGGTAGGAGGCTGCCACTGTCCCCCTTTCAGGACAAGGCATCTGGTCCATGCATCCCATTCTGACACAGTGCTCAGAGAGGGAGTCCTGGCCCCAGGAGGGTGGCACAGCAGCAGCTGTCAATCACTGGTGAGAGTGTTCGGTGCCCCGCCCCCACCCTGCTCTTTCCTCACGGGAGATCAAAGCCCCTACAGCTATGGTTTCTCCTCCTTTGCATTGACAGCCTGAGGCTTTCTTTGGGTTTTGGTTGGTTTGGTTTGTGCTTGGGAGACAGGGTTTTGCTACATACCCCAGGCTGACCTGGAAGCCAGTCTCTTGAATGCTGGCAGAAAAGGGGCACCCAACCGCACCCGCCCACACCCAGCCGCACCCAGCCGCAGAATTCGTCCCAAGGCGTAAATGCCTCCTCACTTTCATACTCTGTTTCCTCTCATCCACACCCTCCTCCATGTTCCAGAACCCCAGAGGAGTAAAATTGCACACACACATGCATACACACACATACACACATACTCACACACATGCATACACACACATACACACACATACATATACACACACATACACATACACACACATGCATACACACACATACACATATGCATACACACACATACACACACATGCATACACACACATACACACACATACTCACACACATGCATACACACACATACATATACACACACAAACACACACACATGTATACACACACATACATACACACATACACACATACACACACATACACACACATACATATACACACACATACATACACACACAAACACACACATACACACATACACACATACACACATATACACACACATACATACACACATACATACACACATACACAATACACACACACATACATACATACATACATACACACACACAAATAAATAAATAAAATTCGTGAATTGATCTGGGGATGCAGCTCAGCCTGTGGAGTGCCTGCCTCGTATGCCCAAAGCCAGCTCCACAAAAACCAGGCAGGCGGTGCACAGCTGTTGTCCCAGTGGAGGCAGAGACAGGAGCCCAGCTTCCAGGCCAACCTGAGCTATAGAGTGACACCCTGAAGCAAAAAACAAAAACAAAACAAAACAAGAAACAGTCTCTTTGGCTCAGCACCTTGGTGCACACCTGCAATCCCAGCAGC